ATGTTATTAATACGGAAATAGATTTGAAAATTCACTAGAATTTCAGAAAAAAGCCGATTTCAACATATTTTTTCGTCTCCCCAGATTGTTTTTACCACGAAGGTAGCTGAATAGCTGAAAAAATGAGAGTAACCAACTTACAAATTTGTTTACTACATATTTTTTGATTTTATTAACGACTGAATTTTGATGAATTTTGATGAACGATTGAAAGTGGTTAGTTTATCAAGGGATGCGATAGCGTCCCGAAGGCAAGTTTGTAATAAAGCAGAGTCGTTAGTGTGTTTATCCGTGTTTAATTTAATCTCCTTAATTAATTGGAGTTTATTCAACGGGATATTAAAAAGTAGCTGAATAGAGATATAAAAGTAGCTAAATAGAGAACCCTTACTCTGTCGCAAAATATACTCTTATTTTTGACATGTCTTGATAAATTGTGACGAACCGTCACGTTACACCCTACGACCCCGAACACGGCCACCGACTTCGCCGCCGCGTCCCACGCAGTCGCTGGCGCGACCCGCGACTACACCGGTCGCCGCGCGAGCCGTTTCGTGCCGGCGACATCACGCGCCACGCATATAAATACCCATCCGTAAGCCGGGAAAGGGCAGAGTCGATGATTTTTCGCTCTCGCGATATTAATGTGTGGATTGGATCGTACATTGACTCAGCGAAGGATTTTTCGAGGGTTGTTGATCGAGCGATCACACGTACGGATTCGGTGGCATTTCGGTATCTTTTCGGGAGTGCATAGTCGCGTCTCTTTATCGCGTACTGATAATTTAGTACGTTCTAAAGAAAGTCTGTCAGGTACAGAAACCAAGCGAACAGTTAGGCTGAGCCGGTGTCGAAAGTGGCATATGGTCGTTGACCCGCGGCTCTCGTCCATAGGTTATGTCAGGGTCGATTCTAGCAATAAGCCCCCTAACCTCACTGATAGAACCCTTGTAAGTAGGACGGAAAAGGGAGCATGCCCTGAGCAGGGTGAAGACAGGGTGAGTATAAACGATGTGTTCCCGACGTGCGGGAGGGGCTCAGGCGTGGGCAATAAAAAATCGGCGGATGAACGTTTCAACGTGGCTGTGATCAGCCACGAAAGCCGCGTGGTGTGAAGGGCTGGCATAGCTGCCCATGGGCCACTTTTGATTTCCACTCCCTCGGGTTAGTCCCGGTAAATGGAGTGGGCCGCGGGGCGAGGGAAGACTTGGGATCTTCCTTCGCGGACGCGTACGGCTATGAGTGAGGTGTTGGTTCAGGGAAACGTGTCGTCCAGATTGGCTGCCGTGATGAAGCACGGTGCCATTGCTCAGCGTCTGGGTTGTACGAACGCACGATCGGGAAAATTAAGGGTTGAACGGACGCACGATTGGGAAGATTAGTGGTTGAAGGAAACTGGTCGATAACGAGTCGCGAGCGAATCTTAGAGTACGTTTCAGTATGTAAACGCATTGCTCCTGGCGTAAGTTTTTCCCTCGAAGAGGTTTTTCTTACGTCGCGGGCAAAAGCCCGAGCGAATGCGGGAGCGGTGCGGGGCACCTCTATGCGAGAGGACAGGTAGGGTCGCGGAACGCGCGCGAGAGCGAGAATCGAGAGCGAGCATCCTACAGGCGTGCGTTGCGATCGGAAAAGACGCTCGCGAAAAAGAAAACACGAGAGTAATTGTAATTAGAAACGGTCATTGTGCGACGAGACGCGTGTTCATCAATCCTCTTTAAAGGAAGAATAATTAAAAGTGTTTTACGTTAATTCAAGTCTAGTTTTTTGATTGCAACCGAGCGCGAATCTGCTCAAGGAGCAGCCACACGATGTTTTCAGCGATAGTACATCATTTCCTTCGCGCCATTCTTCAATAAATAGAGAATCAGATTTCCGATCGGCATCTCCGCATTCGGAAAAAGGATCGACGGACTCTCATTCGTCGGGCTTCTCAGTGCCTAAAAAGAGGATTATTCGTCTTGTTAACACCCCCGTCGAAAGGCTGGCTAACCTTGAAAACAGTAATTTCCATAATAAATATCCTATATCTCACTGTCTAAATAATAACTCATTAAGTACTCTAGACAAAACTCAGTAAATCCTTATAGCGAGAAAATGGATATTACTCCGAATATAAAGTTGTCAAACCGCTTTGAGATCCTCTCGCGTGCTTTTGAAAACAAACATACTACAAATGAGCATGCTGCTTCTAAACTCAAAAGCGCAGACAAGCCCAGTCATGAGCAAAAGAATGAGGGTCAGTCGCGCCATACGTCAGTAAAAATTAGCGGTGATAAGCAAGTGTCAACGAAAGTCCCGCCCATTTATGTTTCAAATTTCACGTGCTCGGCGTCTTCTTTCGAAAAGCAATTGGTTGACCTATGCGGTAGGACTTTTAAACTAAAGCTCCTAAAGGAGGGCATTAGAATTCAGTTCACAAACATAGAATCGCACAAAAAGATGATATGCTTTCTGAGGGAGGGGAACCATTCCTTTTTTACTTTTACAAACAAAAACGAGAAGGCTCTTAACGCGGTGTTGAGGGGCCTCCCAGATACCCCAACCGAGGAAGTCCTGGATGAATTAAAAAACGCCGGCCTGTCACCGGTTAGTGGGTTAAAAATCGGCAAATCCAGCTCTAAACCACTGTACAGGATTAACTTTCCACCGGGGACAAGCTTAAGCATGCTAAACAGGGTGGGTTACTTATTTAGTATTAGAATATACTGGGATAGATTCTTTTCAAATATAAAGCACACCCAGTGCTTTAGATGTCAGTCCTTTGGACACTCAGCTTCCAACTGTAATCGTCCACCAAAGTGCGTAAAGTGTGGTGATAGCCACCACACTTCTGCTTGCACCAACGCACCGGAGGTCCCTCCGAGGTGCGCAAACTGCGGCGAGGGTCACACTGCCAACTTTTCAAAATGCTCTGCCTTGACAAATTACTTAAGAACAAGGGAGGGACTTAGTAGACAGGGTAAAAAATATGTAGATGATAAAACCGGATTTACACGTGGTTCTCCTGGTATGCAACCCCCGGAACTTGATTTCTCACGGATGCCTCCTTTACCTAATAAATCTAGAAGTATTGTCTCACAA